AACCTACCCTTGACCCCTGACCCCTGACCCCTGACCCCTAAACCCAAACCCCAACCCCTACCCCAACCCCAACCCTAACCCTAAACCTAAACCCTAAACCCTACCCCAACCCCTCACCCTAACCCTAACCCTAACCCCTAACCCTACCCCTAAACCTAACCCTAAACCCTAACCCCGACCCCTGACCCTAAACCCTAACCCCTACCCTCACCCCAACCCCTAACCCAACCCCTCACCCCGACCCCAACCCCTACCCCTCACCCTAAACCCTGACCCTACCCCTAAACCCTAACCTACCCTAACCCCTAACCCGTACCCCCTAACCCTAAACCCTAACCCCCTAACCCCTAACCCTAACCCCCTAACCCTAACCCCTAAACCCCAACCCCCACCCTCATCCTAAACCCTAACCCCTTAACCTTAACCCTAACCACTAACCCCTTAACCTTAACCACTAACCCCAAACCCTAAACCCCTAACCGTAAACCCTTAATCCTTAACCCTAACCCCTTAACCCCCTAACCCCTAACCGTAAACCCTTAACCCTTAACCCTAACCTACCCCTAGACCCTGACCCTACCCTTGACCCTGACCCAACCCCACCCCTACCCTAACCCTCCCCCTCAACCCTAACCCTCTAACCCTAACCCTCTAACCCTAAACCCTAACCCCAACCCCTAAACCCTACCCCGAACCCTAACCCCAACCCGAAACTACCCCTAACCCCTAAAACCTCACCCTAACCCTAAACCCTACCCCTAAACCCAAACCCTAAACCCTACCCTAACCCTTAACCCCAAACCCTCACCCTAAACCCTACCCCTCACCCTAACCCCTAACCCCAACCCCACCCTCACCCTAACCCAACCTAACCCTAACCCTACTCTAACCCTTACCCCTAACCCTAAACCCAACCCTCAACCTTACCCTAAACCCTACCCCTCACCCTCACCCTCACCCGACCCCCACCCTCACCCCTAAACCTTAACCCTAAACCCTAACCTCACCCTCACCCTGACCCTCACCCTAATCCCTAACCCCTAACCCTAAACCCTCACCCCTAAACCCAACCAACCCTGACCCTGATCCCGACCCTTAACCCTTAACCCTATCCTCCCTGCAGTTAACACATGAATTAGCTTTAAACTTCCAGTCTATTAATTCCCTTGGAAGATGTGAATGAGTAAAGAGCACTTCCTTACTGTCTCCACCCCATGGCTGATTTTGTAGACCTCTATCATATCCCTCCCTAGTCTCTTTTCCAAACTGAACAGCCTCCGTCTTTTTAACATCTCCTCCTATGAAAGTTGTTCCACATGCCTAAGCATTGTTGCTGCCCTTCTCTGTACCTTTTCCAATTCTTATACATCTTTTGTCAGATGGGGTGACCAGAACTGCATGCAGTATTCAAGGTGTGGGTGTACCAGGGATTTACAGAGGGGCATTATAGTATTTCTGTCTTATCTATCCCTTTCCTAATGGTTCCTAACATTGCTAGCTTGTTAGGCGCAGAGAAGGTCAGAAACAGCAATGCTTAGGGGTATGGAACAACTTCCATTGGAGAAGAGATTAAAAAGACTGGGACTGTTCTGTTTGTCATATCGCCCCTTGTTGTCTCTTCCAGAGGTTTATAAAATCAGGCATGGTGTGGAGAAAGTGATTAAGCAAATGTTCTTTACCTCTTCACATAACACAAGAACCAGGAGTCACCCACTGACATAAATAGTCAGGAGATTTAAAAGAAAGTACATCTTGGAACCACATGGTTAGAAGGGACCGCAAAGATCATCTAGTCTAACTCCCTGCCAAGATGCAGGATTTGTGGTGTCTAAACCATCCATAACAGTTGGCTATCCAGCCCCCTTTTGAAAACCTCCAGTGAAGGTGCTTCCATGACCTCCCTAGGCAGTCTGTTCCACTGTTCTTCCAGTTAGGAAGTTTTTTCTAAGAGTTAAGCTAAATCTGCTATGCTGAACCCATTGCCCCTTGTCCTGCCCTCTGTGGCAAGAGAGAACTTTTCTCCATCTTTTTTATGGCAGTCTTTCAAGTATTTGAAGACTGCTATCATGTCCCTCCTTAATCTCTTTTCCAAACTACAGATACCCAGTTCCTTCAGCCTTTGCTCATATGGATTGCATTCCATCCCTCTGATCATCTTTGTCACTCTACATCCTTTCTACTCATTGGTGACCAAAATTGGACACAGAACTCCAGCCTAACCAGTGCTGAGTAGAATGGTACTATCATCTCCCATGACTTGTATGCTATGCCTCTATTAATGCAACCTAAAATTGCATTTGCTGATTCATGTTGAGGTTGTGATCCACCACAACTCCCAGATCCTTTGCAGTAGTGCTGCTGCAAAGCCAGTTATCCCCCATTCTGTATTTGTGCATTTGGGGATTTTTTTCCCCTAAGTGTAGCACCTAACCTTTGTCTTTGAATTTCATTTTGTGGTCTATAACCCAGTTCTCAGATTTATTGAGATCTCTTGATTTTAGTTCTATCCTCCAAAGTGTTGGCAGAACCCCTTAAATGGTTCTTCACACAATGCACAGGCAATCTGTGGAACTCGTTGCCAGGGGATGCTGTGAAAGCAAAAAATATAACTAAGAATTAGCTAAATTCATGGAAGATAGCCATTGATGGGCCTATTAGCTAAGATGGTCAAGGACACAATCCCATGCTTTGGGTGTTCCTACACCTCTGACTGCCAGAAGCTGGGATTGGACAACAGGGGATGGATCACTGGATAATTCAGGCCCTTGTTCATGCCCTCTGAAGCATCTGGCATATCCATTGTTGGAAGACGTAATACTGAGATAGACTGACCATGGTCTGACCCACATGGCCATTTTCATCTAAGTGTCACTATTCTAAAAAGGCATGTGTTTGAATTGGAGTTGCCAACTGTAGTCCACCACTGCAAACTGTTTTTTTTTAATTAAACACAAAAACAACTACATTCTTACTCCTTGGAGAAAGTCTGCAAGTGTGAAAAGAGTGTTTGTTTCCCCAGCTGTAAAATGCTGAGGATTATAACCTCCTTCCTTTCAATCTCAGCATGAAAAGCCCTCCAGAGCAGCTAACATGGCCTGACTATACGAACACATAATGATCCCCACTGGGGCTGTGAATGTCACTCCTCACACTTTCAAGGCTACTGTTCTTGGTGCTGTTAACAGTATCACATATTAAGTAACAAAAATTTCACTGAAAATCCTGGTTATGCTACAGATTTTATAATCTGGAGTTTTTAAAAATGTGCTTGAAAACGAAGTTTAACCCTGGAGCAAAGGTCTGTCCTTACACGACTGAGTTCATAGAGGGATTGGCCCTGATCCTGCAGACAGGTTGTCCATTCTCTCATCTACCCAGTGTCATTAGGAACTGTATATAGAAAGCGAGAACACTTATAACCTAGGCCAGCATTTGTATGTGGAGGACACACAGAGTCAGGTCACCTGGATTCTGCTTCCTGGAACCCCCTTCCCGCAATTCCCCTCCAGCTTAGCCAGTGTTTGAAGTGATCAGCACTGGTAAGCAACGACAGTCCCACCAGGTCCCTCCCTATCCCCATCCCATCCCACAAATCCCATGCCTAACCAGGATGCTCAGGTCCTCTGAAGCAGTGGTTCTCAACTAGGCATACATGTACCCTTGGAGGTATGCAATGTCTTCCAGGGGTCTTCCATTCTCTATACACTGAAATGTAAGTACAATATTTATATTCCAGTTGATTTATAATATGGTGAAAGTAAAAAAATATGGAAAAAGTAAGCAATTATTCAGTAATAGTGTGCTGTGACACTTCTGTATTTTTGTAAGCAAATAATTTTTGTGAGGTGAAACTTGGGGGTACCCAAGGCAAATCAGACTGCTGAAAGGGGTACAGTAGTCTGGAAAGGTTGAGAGCCACTGCTCTGAAGGAAGAGAAGATTGAGTACAGCCAAGGTAAACAACATTGTGTCCAGTGACTCACACCCAGTGATGTGGAAGGACAGACTGGGAATACCAGAGTGTCCCTAGTTGCAGGTCACATTCAGTCTTGGGGAGCAGGGCGATGCTCCCAGCCAAAGGCAGAGCTCCACCCTCCCCAGGACCCTTTGCATGCAAACGAGAAGCATCGCTCTGCTCTCAGGTAGGGCTCTAGCTACTCAGACATTTGATAGAGACATAACTGAAGGAAAATGGACACCTGCTCCTCCCCCATCACTGTCACCACCAGGCAGGACTCTTGGGATCCTCAGTCCACTGCCAAGTGGGATGTCCAGGCTGCTCAGGTCCTCTTCTTCCAGCTCCACATCTGGCTGGGCTGCTCCACTGACTTGGACGAGTCCTCTGCAAACACAGCAAATAACCCAAGAAAGAGCCATCACTGCCCAAAACCTGTGCTGGAGTGTGAAGGTTTGCACTCCCACTCCCATCTGCACTAGATCACAGCTACTAGATTAACAGAGTCAACAATGATGGGTCACTTGGCTGGTCAAACCCCAACACTTTAGCACCTGTAGTTAACACGATCCCACCCCATCTACTGGGGGCTATTGACACAAACTACCTAAAAAAACTTACTAATAAATCACTGAGCCAATAACCATTGGTGCCACATTCTAAAACAGGGATTCTCAAACTGGACGTCGCGCCCACTCAGGAGGTCAAGGTTATTATGGGAAGTCAGGAGCAGCACCATCCTCTTGCTGGTGAGGGGGCTGAGGTGGCTACACCAGTGGTGTGCAAACAGGGGGTGCATCTGAGGTTCAGTGGAGGTTCACAAGAAACTTTGCCAATATCATGTTTCACAGCAGCCTTACCAGTGTCTCATTGCCACCCTCCTTTGGTGTTCCTGGTGGCAGTGGCATTTTCAGTGCTACCCAGCTCTGAAGGCAGTGCTGCTGCCAACAGCAGTGGAGAAGGGTGGCAGTGGGGCTCTGTGATGAACTGGGACTGTTCTTAATGTTTCCTCTGAATACGGTAGGGGTGCCTCAGTTTCCCCTATGCATTTCTTAAGTCTCTACGTGGTGGAATAAGGGGGTGTAATTGTTGCAGAGCAAAGGGCCAGTGTACATAAATGGCCGACACTCTGTTTCCTGGCAACTAATGGCCTGGGCCCTTCCCCCCTGCAAGGTGATAGCTAAAGGTGTTGGAGAACAAAGGAATCAGGTGACCTCCTGGCCCAGGAAAGGGACAAAGCCCAGAGGAGGAAGGGCTGGAGGGTGAGTCAATTTGGGGCTGGCTGGGGACGGGAGTGAATGCAGACATGGGTGTCTGGCTCACGGCCCCCCAAAATGGACCCGGCTGAGGGGTCCTGTTCTCTGTACCTACAAGCTCTATTTTAGACTGTGTTCCTGTCGTCTAATAAACCTCTGTTTTACTGGCTGGCTAAGAGTCACGTCTGACTGCGAAGTGGGGGTGCAGGACCCTCTGGCTTCCCCAGGATCCCGCCTGGGCAGACTCATTGTGGGAAGCACACGGAGGGGCAGAGGATGCTGAATGCTCCAAGATCAGAAGGTGGAAGCCGTGTGAGCTGCTTGCCCTGAAGACAGTCTGCTCACAGAGACGAGACTTCACCAGAGTCCTGACTGGCTTCATAGGGAGCAGTTCCAGAGCATCATCCAGGGACTCCGTGACAGGTTCTCCCAGGCTGCACTAATCACCGCCGGTCTGACACCTCCTCCTGGTAACTGTGGGGATTAGCTCTTGTGACCAACCCTCCCATGTACGAGCTGAATGCCGTCATTCTGTCTCTCCCTCTAGTAGACAGCCCCTCTCTCACTCCAGGAACAGCAGTCTCCTCTTCATGGCTCGGCCCTCCAGCCAGGTCACCAAGGTCCTCCCCTTCTGAGGAATTCAAAGTCCTTTCAGACCCACTGGCTGGATGGCATCTCCAACGCCCTTACCACTTCCCAATGGCCGGTAGGGGAACCTAAGTCCACCCTCAACACTGGGTTCCAGCCCAGGGACACTAACAAGCACCCAAGGTCTCTGCACAGTTCTATCACTTGCTGCTGTTTCCCTGGGCTTCTTCCTACTTATCTGGCTTCCCCTCTCTCTGGGTTTGTCAGCCTCCCAACTCCCTCCACTCAGGGAGTGACTGCAACCTACTTCCCTGCCTTGCTCCAGCAGCTTCCCTTACCTTTCAGCTCCTGGGCTTTACACTGGCCCCTCCTGTTTCTGACCAGGTAAGCCTGCTTCAAATTATCCCTTCTCCCTGGATCCTCTTCCAGGTGCTGCCTATGGAGTTAATTGGCTGACCTGGCCACCTTAACCCCTCCCAGTACTTTCGGGGGTGGACACTATCACAGGGGCACTAAGTCTGTTGTGAAAAGTGATATTTGTATGTGTTTGTTAATACCACATTTCAGACTCCCAGCTACCTAGCTACTCTGCTGTGAAGTCTGCACTAGTGCTGTGAAAAGTGAGATTTGTTTTTCTGTTAATATCACATTTCATTAACTAGCAGAGTTACTAGTGCAGGGTTCATGGCAGACTTCTGCTGTGAAAAGTGATACTTGTATGTTTATTAATATCATATTTCACAGCAGACATTCTAGATTCCCATTACCACCCTTACTTCTGCGCTGCTGCTGGCCACAGCATGGCCTTCAGAGCTGGAAGACTGTAAAAAGTATTTCTTAATATCACTTTTCAAAGCCACCCAGCTAGCTAGTCAGTCTGCTGTGAAGTCTGCACTAGTAAGTCTGCTGTGAAAAGTTATATTAACAAACATAGTATATATCAGTTTTCACAGCAGACTTAGTGCCCTATTACCACCCTTACTGCTACGCAGCTGCTGGCAGTGTCACTATTTTCAGAGCCACCCAGCTCTTAAGGCAGCACCGAGGTCAGCAGCAGCACAGAAGTAATGGTGGCAATGAGGCATTAAGTTTGCTGTGAAAAGTGATAATGACAAAGTTTCTTTGTGCGCTCCCCAGTATTAAACAGTAATTAGTTTTAAAAAATTCTGCTTATAACAATAATGTGATAAAATGGGTTTTAGTGTTCATTAGAAGTGATGAGAAAAGGTAAATTCATTTTCAACAATATGATTATAAATTTAGCATTTAAAATAGTGTTTAATATAAAAAAAATCTGTTTTTCATTAATAAGGGGGTCACTCTCAGGCGCTTGCTGTGTGTAATGGATTGCCAATACAAAAAGTTTGAGAACACCTGCTCTAGTCACCCACCTGGTCCAAGCTTGTTCTGGGGAGGACATATTACAACCTGCCCTGGGTATGAAAGCAGCTATCTTCCCCTGCACCCTGAACATGTAGGGTAGTCGAGACTTTTCTTGGTAACCCAGTCCCATATAACACAGGAGGAAGCTGTCTCCAGTTAGGAGGGCTAAATGCAAAGCTCTAAGTGGACACTTCTCTCAGAGATGCCTGCAACTGCAGCTGGACCAGTGTTGCGTGGAGCCACCTATACCAAACAGGGTGGACTTGCCTGGTCTCCATCTCTCAGGTCTCAAATCCTCCTATTGAAGGAAACAAACCACAAAAGGAGAGCTATTTCCAGAGACTGCAATGGCACAGACTCATGCTCTCACTCCTTTAAAGGGATCTGACACTCCATCCGATGACACGCCACCAAACAGTCATAGCTACAATGAAGGGGCAGCTGAATGCTCCTGTACTGTAAAAAACGGTCATCCAAAATAGTCACTGCTCACATGAGATTATCAGCCCTCTCCCTTCTCTTTATGCCCAGAGACGACCATCCCTCTCTAGGATGCCCATGTTCGCTGAAGGAAACCAAGATCAAGTACAGAGAAGGAGAAAATAATGACACATGACTCAAACCCAGCAACGTATAAGAGGAGCCAAGCAAGAACTGAGTATCTCGGTTTACAGGCAGGTCACTCTCCTAGGAACCAGCCTTCCTCTAGGGAAGACATATGCTCTGTTTTAATTGTTGGGCCTGACAAGCTTCAGTCATCTTCCCAGTTAAAAATGTTTAACCTTGTCTTAAAAAAAAAAAAAAATTATATAGTGTGACAAAGTTCCTCCTCTATCTTGGTGGGTCCTGTGTTTATTGGCGGATTTTCTTGCCTCAGAGATTCACCATGTGGGTTGGGGAACAGCCCAGAGACCTTCCCCTCTGGAAGAACCCACAGTCCAGGACAATTGGGAGGCTTGGGGGGAACCCGGGCCCGCCCTCTATTCCTGGTTCAAGCCCAGGGCCCTGTGAACTGCAGCTATCTATAGTGCCTCCTCTAACAGCTGCATGACAGCTACAACTCCCTGGGCTACTTCCCCATGGCCTCCTCCAAACACCTTCCTTAGTCTCACCACAGGACCTTCCTCCTGGTGTTGGATAACGCTTGTGCTCCTCAATCCTCCAGCAGCACCACATTTAAGAGCGTGGAACAAAATGCCCCTTCCATGGGGCTCCCGCACAACCCCCT